AACTAAAGCAAAAATACATGGGCTTAAAGCCGATCCTAGATCTCTCCAAAGAACTTCTCTTGGAACCTTAATATAAGATTTTTTCTAAATCAATAAAAATCATATATGGATCCTCATTCTCTCTGTACTTCTCCATCAAACATCTCAATAAATTTATAACTTCCATAATAGATTGGCTTGACATAAATCCAAATTGATTATGAGAAATTTTTGTATCACGTTTTAATCTATATTCAATTACACTCTATCATAATTTTAAAGTATGACACAATAACTTAATTCCTCTATAATTTGGGCCCTCTTATGCATCCCTTTATTCTTAAAAATAGAGACCAAAAAACTCTTCCTCCACTTATCGGGTATCTTTTTAGTTTTTTAAATAATATTAAAGAGTTTAGTACTCTAAGAAACTCCAAATATCCTATATATTTCCACACTTCAATTGGGAGATCATCAGGTTCTATTGATTTTCACCCTTAGTTTTCTTTAAATCTTTCTCGACTTCTTTTTTACTAATACGACGGTAAAAATAAAAATTATTATTATTATTAATGAAATTAAGATCACTAAAATTGATCGTATTTTCAAAAGCTTCATTGAAAAGTTTATCAAAATAGTTCACCCACTTGTGTTGAACATTTTTCTCTAAAAAAAGCTTTTTTTGACTTTTATCTTGAATATGCTTTACTTGAATTAAACCTTACTTTACTTTTCTCTTTATTTTGTTATTTTATACATATATTTTTCACCCTTTTTAGTATCTAATCTATTATAAAGCTCACTATATGCAGAATTCATAGCGTCACAAATTGTTCTCTTAGACTCTGTTAGACTTTGTTCTCAGTTCTCTAAGCTTTTACATTTAAACAATTTTTTATAACACAACTTAAATTTTATCTTTTATTGCACATTATTATTCGACCACCAACTATTTTTATTTATAAAAAAATTTCCTTTTGATTCTCTAAGTAAATCTTTTGTCAATTGTTTAATAGCAATTGTAACTTTATCCCACATAAAATTAGCTTCTTCATGAACATTCCAAATATTTAAATCTTGAAGTTTACTCATAAAAATAACTTTATTTGTGTCTTTTAGGTGCCCCCATATAATTCTATGACAACGTTTTATTGTATTTTTTATCTTAAAACTCTTCATCTTAAAATCAAGAACTAATAATCGATGTTGAATACTTAATTGTTATTTAAAATAACCTTACAATCTTTACATTCTCATCGATTTCTTTTTCTCAAAAGAAAATAATGAATTTGTGTTTTATTAGATCTATTTCTAGAAAAAATAATATCTTCATCTCTTTCTTAAATAAAGTATTAACAATAATAAAATAATAAGCTAAAGCAAAATCTAATATGGTTCTACCTTCTTCATTAATCACTCCAAAATGGTAGCCACCATGAATACTTCTAAAATCTTCTACCACTTTATCAATTTATCTATTTAAAAATCCAACAATAAAAATTATTTCTTTAACATGTGTATTAATTCTTCTAGGTCATTCTAAATTTTTTTTGAACCTATACCTAAACCTACATGAGGAACATAAACACTTATAACATCAAAAACCTTAGTATCAACAACAAATTTTATGGCTATGATTCTATCTCCAATTTTATTAATTTTGACAACATTATTTGTCAAACCGATATATATAATTAAACCTACACCATTTCTAGTGCGACTCCTACTTGAATACCAAAGTTTAAAACCTAAGCTATTAATCTCCTTAGTCTTTTCTCAAACACATTTAGTCCCTTGAATGCATAAGATATTTATCTTCCTATAAACCACAATATCTACTAATTTCATTAATTTATCTGTGAAAGTGTCTATATTCCAAGAGGTTATCCTAATATTACTTTCACTGACTAGCTTCTTTACTCACATCCGCCCATAATGTGGAAAGTCTAGTTTATTTGGCACTACATAGACGCTAGTATAACATCCCCTACACACTATTTATTGTATTCAAGTGTTACAGCGTGCCGCTTCTAGGGGATGCCCTAGCCATTACACAATGATTTAAAGGATTCATTTCAATATTATTCAACAAAAATTTACGTTGGTTACCAACTAACTAAAACAACCTACTTTTTGCATTCAAAGCCTGAGATCCGACAATGACAGTGTTCAAGCCATAAGACACCTAAAATTTTTATTATTTCTATGTAGATTATTGGTAAGTCATAATAACAACTTCTATAAAGGAAGCTAAGGAAATCTTACAAAAGCGTTTAAGGTGAAAAAAAAAAATTTACTGAAAGAAAGCCAACTTTACTTACTAAGTCTTCTTCTATAATTTGATTTGAACATAGTGTGAAAGAAAATATCATTCATAACCTATTTGAGTAATCATTAATTAAAAAAGTACTCAAACAAGTCACTGAAGTGATCATAAATTAAAGTACAATCTTTTATGGTTCAACATAGTCATAAAAATTTATTAAATTATAGAAACAATAAAAATAGTTTATTGATGAAAAGATAATAGAAGAGATGAATTGAGTATATAAAATCGACGGTAGAAGATGCACCAATAAGTAAAGATAAAATTAACAAAAAAAGGTAATTATGAAATGTGTTAAAGAAAAAGTGGCATAGCAACATGTTGTGAAAAAAAAAAATTGCTAAACAGAAAATAATATTCAACACACAATGTTGAGCTCAACAAGAATTAATGGAGCTTAATTAAGGTTATTGATGATGATAACAAAAATGGAAATATGCTGATTATTTTGTTACCCATAGATTGTAATTGTGCATGCCTTGTGTTATTCTATAATGTAGTCATTAAGAATTCACTTAACGTGTTCATGCCTATTAGTGCTTCTTGAGCAAAAAAAATATAAGCTTTGCAAATTGCTTTATGTTTGCCATGTTGACAAAACTGCAACATGATTTGATTTTAGCTTTCTTTATCATAATTTCAACATCTAGGCATATTTTTTAACTTAGTATAATTTTAAAAATTAAATACTTATCTGGTAAGATACCTTCAAGTACTTAACATATGATTTTATAATCTTAAGATAAATAAATAATTAACACAAAACAATTTTATAAATATGATTCTATAAAAAATAAAATCATTGCAACTTTTAAATATAGACAAATATAACTAGAAGTAATGCATGCACATTAATGAAAAAATGGGAAGATCTCCATTGCAAACAACTAAAAGCCTTCACATATAAGAATTTGGGAGATGGACACAGCACAAACTAACTGTAGTTTACTTTGTTTGAATGCAATACTTATGGTGGCTATAGCGAAGTATGAAAACCATTTAAGTAGGACAATGGAGAACCTTCACAGTATATATGTGTAGCTGTTGGATTCAAATGCATTGGGCAGGAATGTTGTAAAAAATAAACATGTTTCATCAAGTAAATAATAAACAAATCTCTTCGAGGAATCTATTGAACGCTTTTAAGGATAAGAGTTTGAAAGTTCAACTCATTTCATACTAGTAGTATTGGTTTCTTTGTTTACACTTTAATACAATACTCCTTGTAGTTGTCACAAACTATGAAATTAATTGAAGTATTGCAATTGTAAAAAGCCAAACATTATATACCTAAAGGTTTTGGGATCAAATGCATTCGGCAGGAAGGTTTTCAAGGAAAAAAAAAACAGGCATAAGATGGAAGGAACTGGAATATAATGCATGCCTCTTGCGACTAGAGGGTTAGTTTCAGCGCACATCCATGCTTAGTGTAATTTTGTGAGTGTTCGGCCCATAAAAAACAAGCAAAAACAAGTCCATATAAGCACTAACTAAGCACTAACAACCCAAAAAACATAACAACCCAAAAAACAAAAAAAAAAAAACTAAAATTCAATAAAAACAATTTAAACGATATCCAACCAAAGCAGATACAATTGTCAAAAACCGCTCACTTTTAAGGTTTAAGTGAAATTTAAGCAAAGAACACTAAAATGAGCTTTGATATTTGGTCGTAAAAATCAAACAATAACACAAATAATTGCATTTTTTTATAATTTTTAATCAGATTTCTTCTATGCATAATTCTTAACAGAAGTATAATTCTAGTAGCTCGCTAGCCAATTGCACCACATAATAGTTTTCCCCTAAAGTAATAAAGGTATTTCCATACCAAATAAGAAAATGTCTAGACAGGACCTATGATTATAAATTTCATTTAGATATTTAAATAATAATAACATTTCTAGAACTATAAACATAGCATGACATATCAAAATTCCTGCTATATAATTATAGGACTTGGTTTATAGATACATTTTCAGATATTAAAAAAGATCCAAACAAGCAAAGTTGTATTCATCATTTCAATCAAGCAAAGAAAGTTAGCATTAAACAGTGTCAGCATCAAGTGGGATGGAAGACATGAAAATCAACTTAAAAATCAAGACAATCTCATAATATGCACCCTATATTTTAACCACCTTGAAAAAGAACAGCAATATACAAATTAAATTAAATTAAATTAAATTAAATCCAATCAAGTGGGTGTGGAAATAATTTCTCTGGGTCAAACAATACTCAATGATTGGATTCTCTCCACATGAAACCTAAGCTCAATTAAAACATGAACAGAGCCACCCATCTCCAAGTAAATTAGTACTTAACATAAACTCAAACCGAAGAGAATGAGGGACATAAGCCCTATATTCATGACCAGTTAGGGACAAATAGTTTACTAGTTCCAGGAAGCTCAAGTAACTATATTTATCAATAATAAGCAATACCAAAACTCCAATTTTGATTAAAAATCCTTACTCAAAGCCCATTTATAATACGCCTTTATTATGAAACACAGAAAAAAGAAATTTGATTGCACTTAATACACGCAGCTTTCCTAGTTTCTTAAAAGCTCCTTCCTTATTCACTTATGGCGCACATCACAGCAACAACCATCCTAACTAGAAAGCCTAATGAAGGAGAATGTAATTCAGAAAGAGGATCACTCAGAACAGGAACAGATTAAAGAAGTAATTACCTTTGCCTTGCTCGTATCTCTTCAAGAGACTCTTTTTTTATTTCAATAGAATTGGTTGCAAACACTTCGCCAAAATCACCCCCTGCCTCACCTTTCGGAGGCTCCATGACAGAGGATACGAAGGACATGGAAGGCGCGAGTGAAGCAAAGACGGGAGACAACGAACCAGCAGCCCTAAGAGGTATATTAGGTCGGGATTTGTGAGGCCATTAGGCTAGTTACGGCGATCCTTTTTTAATCGAACAAAGAAAAAACTGAACTTCCAAGCCTCGACCATCGACAATCACGGAGAAGCATTTATTTAATGCAAAAGAAAAAGGGATAATATTTTCTTCGAGGTCTATATTTCCAAAAATTATTTCATACGGATTGGAGTGATTTATTAAAAAAATCCTGACTGTAGCCGTGATCTACGGTCAGGATCGGACACCGCATGCAGAGATACACGCAGTGCCCGTATGCAATAATTTCTCCTATATTTCAGTGCTAATTTCATGAAAGGCAATTTATATACATACTACTCAATTCTTATGCGTGCATATACTTTAAATATTAGGTGTATATCATTAATGTTTTTAATATGACCATCATTTATTTTTACAAGTGAAATACATATTTTTATGATAAACTTATAATGTATAAATATCAAATTTTGATATTTGCTGTGCAAATCCATAAAACTTGTGTGATGCCTATGTAAATCTCTCTTTTATAAATAGCTAATTTTTTTTTATGAAATGAAAGTCATCTCCTTTTTTTTCTTTAATGTTATGATGACCCTTAGAAATATATATAAAAAAAAACAATAGTTATAAACAGTCCACCCAAAATATTATTACTTACAAATTAAACACGCAGGTAATTTTTTTGAACTATCGAACCGATATATTTATGTGACGATCAAACTAGAGAATTTGCTTTTAAAATCCTTTTTAAATGCAATTTGAGATAATTATATATATTCTTCATTCAGCCAAAATTAGAAATCAAATGGAAAATTAGGATTTTAAAACTATTTATATGTTAAATAATGAATTTAATGTATAACAACTCGTTCTATGTGCCCCACCAAAACATCTATATGTCAAACAATATTGATTCTTTATTCATAATGTGGCTTAAGAGAGCTGATATGGTACTTGCCCTAATTAATCTTGTCCAAGAAAATACTACTCTTTCCAACTAGCAAGGTACAACTTATGAAATAGTCTTCAAGGTTTTCAACAATTGTCTAAGTTGGACAGATACGAGGACATGAACATAATATGATATGCATAAGAGATATGTCTATTATTGAAAATAAAGAATAAGGCATGTGTCGGACATGTCGTTGTAATAAAAAGTATATATATAACATTAACTATCAAAAATTAGAATGTGCATAGATAATTCTTTAATTTATGACATACAAAACTTAAAGATAATTGCAATACAACATAGCAGTGATGCAAAGGATTTAAAACGGGCAGCAAAGAACGATGGTCTCAACGATGAGATGGAGGGTAGTGAAGCCGAAGTGAAGGCGGAAGGAGATCTCCACAAGTTGGATTATTAGGTTTTAAGTTTTAAAATTTTAATGTTCGTTAAATAAATTTTCGAGCATTTACATAAACACAAACATATTCTTATGTATTTACATATCTAACACCTAAACTTTGATTTTTACATTTATGCCACCCAAATCTTTCATGTCACATCTAAATATATAATTCAAATGGAATACACCTTTTTTATGTTCATATATAAGTAAGATGACATATGTGTAAAAACTAAAATTTATGTGTTAGATACGTAAATACATAAGTAATGAGTGGTATGTATGCAAATCTTTCCTAAAGCTAACATTTTTTTTAATTTCAATCGTAAAAATACTTTTTAAATTTTGTTTTTTTTAAATAGTATTTAATTCAGACATTTTTGTGTTATGTCGGATATGTGTTGGAGATGTGTCAGAGTAATGTTTGATACGTATACGATACTACATGACTCCTTAATTAGGGCTTTGCTAGGTGTGGGACTTTTTGTCTGTGACATTCTCCTCCACCCAATCACGTGATGTTCTCATCACAGATCGACTCCACCAAGGGTCCCACTGAACCATGGAGAGTTCACACACCTGACAGACAGTAATGTGCTCTGATATCACTTGTCACCTCCCAAAAGAGCTGTTCAAAGTGGTGGGCAGCCCAGGACTTAAATACTGCTATTCGGTCTACACTTAGCCGATGTGGGACTTTTTGCCCGTGCCATGGTGCTACTAATGGAGTCATTAAACTAATGCAAATTTTAATTTACTTGCTCATGGTGATATATTTGACTTACCATACATTAAAATTAAAACTAATATTTTTTATATTTTCTTTTTTGTTTGGTTATATATATAAAGCACAAAAGTGTTTTGTTTATAAATATGAATATTGATATGTAAACAACAAAAGAATTGTATGCCTTGGTATGTAAATTTCCCTAATTTTAACATGAATGTAAAATCTTCACAGCCAATGTCCTCCAACTGGTAGCGCATTATATATCCATATATATATATATATAGAGATGCCATTTGGCAATAGCTGAGATGTCATATCGTGTGCAATAAGAGTTTTGAATGTGCATAAGGTTTTCCTCTTTTCATATAATAAGTATCCCTTTTATTTGTTACTGTTAAACTATTGTTTTTCTTCTTCTAACACTAATGTTTACTATTTTCAACTTTATGCCTTATAATTAAGGAAAGAAAATTGAAAAAAACGTTTATTTCATTTCCTTTTCTGCTTCTTTTCTTCAGCTATTCTCTGTTGCAAAGCGATGATCACAAATTGAAATAATGATGATATGATCCATCATGCATACTGTTTTTCCGGGAAAAAAGAAAGCAAGTTTGACTAAAAACATTATTATATAGTTTTGATGATGATATTTAGTTTGTAATACTTTGGGTGCTTCACTTTATTTACCACATTGAACATGTCTTGTACATGCTACGTAATATGTCGTACCACATTTCCTTAACATAAATGCATGCAACCCAACATGCAATAATGAACTGCTAAATCTATTTCTTAATCATTTAGTGGAAGAAACAGAAGATATATGTTACTAACTTTATTTTGGCGGTCTTATTCGGTGTCATGTTTAGCATAGTGTGATCACAATGCCATTTCAATTGTTTGGCCCGTTAGTCTTTTATAATTGCACAAATACGAGAAACTTTACATTTTTATCCAAATGCCAACAAACGGTTTATAGTTTTTAATTTCATGATCATCACAAGGCATTTTCAGTGGATGCCATCTTAATAACGATATAAAAAATTAATATAAATCATGCAATAATTAAAAAAATTAATATGTTTTGCCATAATCATAAGTTTAGTTTGCCATAATAGACATACCTAAATCTTCTTGGATTTATTTTAAGTTATTTTCTTATTTTATTTAATAATTAAAAAAATTGATTTCCTTTAATTATTAATGCTAAAAGACTAAATATCTTTAGGAAATTTGAGAAATTCATTCTCTAAAAGTTGGAAGATTTACATTCATACCACTTAATTCCTATCTATTTACATATCCAACACATAAATTTCATTTTTTACATACATGACACCCTCCCTATGAATGAAAATGTGTATTTCACTTTATAAAAGTTTAAATGGTGGAATTTCTTATAAGATATGAAAATTTTGGTTGATATAAGTGTAAAATATATAGTTTAGGTGTCAGATATGTCGACCATAATCAACTATTTTCGAAGCTTTCATTTTTTTAGGTAAAATGTACTTCATACTTTCTGTTTTTGTATTAGGTATTAGTCTAGAGTCATATGTTTAATGCAACCATCTTTATACTTCTAGTTTAATAAACTTGATCTCAATTTGATGACTTTTATTTTAGCATGACAGACTAAATATTACCTTACACCTCGCCTAATGAATACAATGATTAGCTGTTTTCTATTGATTGATTGTTAAGGTGGTCTGCATAGCATTCTAAGATGCCCCATCCAAGCTTATTCTAGGCTTAAATGACACTTAAGTCCTACAATCACTATTAACGACACATATAAGCACCATTCTAGTTTTTTACATCATTAGCATGCATTTATTATTTTGTTTTGAGGTAATGACCTTCATTTTATTTACTAGCTTAGTTATATGCTCTTGCATAGGCTTTACTTCATACTTATTCAGTCTTTTCTAGCTGCCCTCGGTAGATTTATGCTTTTTCAGTTGTTTTTTTTATTCTTCTAAGTCATATGCTTTTGATTAGAAATCTTCATGATTGGTCATGCTTTTCAACCTATCAAATTCATATTAAGAATATTTCTTTAATTAATGTTTTTTTAAATTTAGCAATGTTGCTCATTTAAATATACCACCACCCTTTGATTGGATGATATGTGATCCTCGATACTGCTTATATGCAACAGTATAACGATGTCTCTGATTATATTTTCACTTGTATTTCCTTACTTTGCAATAAAGTCAAAACTTGATCCTGATGAAAGTAAGAATTTTAACTCTTTAATTTATATATTGGGATACTACGCAAGTATATGTATCATTATCAAGTAATATATGACTTTTTCATTAAGACCTGAATATCGAACCCATCGGGAAAAATATTCAATATGTTCTATTGAACAACAAACTTCTATTTCAAAAAGACAATTACTTAAACTAGAGATGTATTCGTAGTAATAAAATATCAAATCTTTTTGGTATTTTTGATATTTTGACAGAACATAACAATCTAAAAAGATAACTTGAGTTTATGTAAAAGAAAAACACTAAATTTGAAAATATCTCTCTCATTATCATGAATCAGTAGTAAGCATAGGAATTCAGTTGTGGTAGTATGCAAATTGTGTTGTGCCCAATAGGATCAATTATATTCTTTAGTCTTACTAGAGAAACTATAAAGAACATTGACTAATTTAAAGTTTGAATAGTTTTGAAGACCGGCTAGGCGGCAGCGAAGATACCTACCAGCTCTCACTCTAGAGTTCCATGGATTCCCTCCACCTGGGGGCTAAC